CTCTTGGAGATTCCATGTATCTACTGACGACGCCGACTGAGTACCCGAGATCAGGTTGCGTATGTATCAGAAATCTCAAGCTTCCGATAAGGCGTCGATAATCTGTGGCGTTTACAAGCTCTCCATTTTCATTCTTTGGTAAAGCTAGCTTTGGCTCCATAGGATACTTTGATTCATTGCAGTCTTCCATCCTGATGGACTTCAATATTTTTTTTGCGTATGCTTTGTTTTACCTCAATACCTAGGTAATAAGAGAGTTGCCCTAGGTCGCTCATATCGAACACTTTCTGCATCTTTTCTTTGAACTCTTTGACTTTCTCTTCGTCTGAACCTGTCACGATCAAGTCATCGACATATACTCCGACTATTAGCGTAACATCGATTTTTGAAGTTTGTATACTGCCTATTCTTGAGGGCATATTTGGAATCCTAGCTCTTTAAGTGTCTTGTCGAGTCGGATGTTCCATGCCCTTGGGGCTTGTCGCAGCCCATAAAGGGCTTTGTTTAGACGGTACACCATGTGCTCCTTCTCTGTGATCACAAAGCCATCGGGTTGGGATACAAATGCCTCTTCTTGCAACTCACCATTTAAGAAGGCAGATTTAACATCAAGATGGTGAACCTTCCACCCCTGTTTAGTTTAGCTGCCAAGGCTAATAACAATCAAATGGTTTCCAGGCGAGCTACCGGTGCGAAAACTTCGTTGAAGTCAATCCCTTTTTGATGTACATAGCCCTTTGCCACCAACCGGGCCTTGTGCTTTATTATGTTGCCGTCTGCGTCTCTTTTCAGCTTGAACACCCATTTTAATCCGATTGGTTTCTGACCTTTTGGAAGGTTGGTCAGATTCCAAGTGCGGTTCTTGTTGGTCGAGTCTAGCTTTGCCTTCATTGCTTCTTGCCACCTGCGATCCTTTTCAGCCTCTGTGTAGGTTGTAGGTTCATCGCCCACCAGCACCAATTCATCCGAATCCAGTTCCTGAGCGTCTAATTCAGCATAGATGTCAGTCAATTGCCAAAACCTCGAACTGGTGTATGGTCATACATCGAAGAGTTTATGCTTTGCCCAGTTTCTGTTGAAGTATTTGAATCACATGTCGTTGAGTTAATCCTGCTTGACAACTCACCTACATCATGACTCGCGATTGGAGAGGCGACATTAGGTGTCAACGGCGGATTGTCGCCAACATGATGAACAGAACTCCTGCTTTGATCGTCGTTGATAGTGTCTTCTTGGGCCTGTCCTTCTTCGACTGAACTGAAAGAACCATTGACCCATATTTTATTTGATATAGGCTCTCCCGTTTGAGCTTGGGCCCAGTCCCACTTCTTTTTCTCGTCAAAAACAACATTACGGGCCACCACCACCTTCTTCTCACACGGATTAAGCATGCGATAAGCCTTGCTACCAGGTTCCACGCCTAAATGCACCATTGGTGTGCTGCGATCGCTAAGTTTTGTAGTCTGATTCACCGGCTTCTTCACATACCCGACACAACCGAACACCTTTAAATGTTCCAGCGTTGGTTTCGTTCCCCTCAGGCCTTCATACAGTGTCATACCTTTCACTCCTTTCGTCGGGATTCGATTGAGTATGTAGACAGCATGTCGGACAGCCTCATCCCACAGCATGTCCGATACTCCCATCGTTTTTAACAGTGACCTTATGGCTTCAAGAATGCTTCGATTTCGGCATTCCGCCACACCATTTTGTTGAGGTGAATAAGGGGCCGTCAACTGTCTCCTAATGCCTTTCTGACCACAAAAATCCGCAAACTGTTTGGAGGTGAATTCCCCCCACGATCAGTCCGTAGCCCTTGCAATATAAGCGACGTGTCTTTCTCAATCTGATTTTTGAAACTTACAAAATTTGTGAAGGCTTCATCTTTTGATTTCAACATAAAAACCCACATGTAACGGCTATAATCATCAACTATCAACATCAACATGAAATAGCGGTTACCTGCCACGGTTGAGGGTGAAATTGGATCGCAAAGATCGACATGAACAAGTTCGAGTGGTTGATTTGCACGCCATTGCGCTTCTTTTGGAAATGGATGTTTCGTTTGTTTCGCGACTATACACCCCTTACACACTTGTGTAGGGTGTTGAATTCTTGGTACGCCACGTACCAATTCTTTTTGAACCATCCACTCGATGACCCGAAAGCTCACATGACCCAACCTTGCATGCCACAGCCATGCTTCGTCGTCGAGGTTCGCCATTAGACAAATGGGTCGAGTTGTTTGGAGTGCAATCTTAATACAATCGATTTCTCGATCTTTCAACTTTCATAATCAGCCAGCCCCCCTCGTCATGAATTTTCAGAAACTCGTGTAACATCTCGACTTTATATCCAATTTCAGTCATCTGTCCGAGGCTTAGAATATTACTACGTAAAGCTGGAACAAGATATACCTCTGAGACGAGTTGTTGTTCACCGTTTCTACGCTCCAGCAGAATCAAACCTTTGCCAGCGATATAAACCTTAGAGCTGTCCCCGAACCAAACTTCCCCGGTGACGTTTTCATCGAGTTCTGCAAAGAAACTCCGTGTTCCAGTCATATGATTGCTCGCCCCATTGTCAAGATACCATACATTTTCTTCCTTTCCGTCCTTGCCCTCGGTTCTTCCAGGGAATAATTTCTTCTCGTTCAACATCACCAAGTTTTCTGCTTTTTCACCACAAATGCTTAGCAACAAGGTCGGTTCCTCCTCTTGCATTTGAATTAGATTTGTCTCGTCTGCCCTCTCCTTAGGGGCCTTGCATTCAGATGCAAAATGACCGTATTGATCACAGTTGAAGCACTTTATGTGCCTTTTATCTCTTGGGTTGCAATAGTTGTTCCCGGCGTCTCGTTGCCCATTGAAACTGCCTCGACCACCTCTGCCACGGCCTCTGCCATAGTGTCCACGACCACCCCTATCGCTTGAACCACGTCCTCGTCCTCCTGACAAAAAACTTCATCCTACGGTTTTCTGACCTTGCTGGCCTTCGGCTTTAGCGAGCAACAGAGTCGTTTCAGCACTTCCACTGCCAACGCGGAGTCGTAATCTGTCTTCGTATGCTTTCAATCTACCAATAGCCTCATCAAACGGCATGGAATCGATGTTTGAATACTGTTCAATCGAAGCTACCAGTTGTAGGTACTTGTCTGGAACCGAGTCGAGTAACTTTCTCACCAGAACACTATCCTCGACCGTTGTGCCAAGGCTGTTATATTTGGAAACCATCCCACTTAGCTTGCCAGTGAAATCATCGATGGTCTCCCCGTCTTTCATTCGAAGAGCCTCAAACTCACTTTTCAGCGTATGTAATCGAGCCTTCTGGACTCAATCTGCCCCAAGGTAACGTATCTTCAACGAGTCCCACACTTCTTTTGCCGTCTTCTTCATGGCCAGTTGTAGTAAAATATCCTCCGGTACCACTTGGAAGATGAAGGCCCTAGCCAATTTGTTCTTCTTTTTGCCCACCACCACACTTGTCGATGGTTCAATGGATTCCCATAACCCCTGGGCATCCATTATAGCCTCCATCCTTATCGCCCAAGTAGTGTAATTTGACGACTTTAGCATCGGAAATTGAAAAGGCACACCACTGCCTTCCTTTGTCTGCATTTACGATCGACATGTCTTCGAACCGGAGGTATTTGGGCATGAACGTGGCTCTGATACCAAATGTTGGAATAAGTCCCTTGGTGAAACAGTTTACACCCAACACGGTAAGGCAAACACTGAAAAAATACGAGCAATATGGGGCCGAATTTTCTCGTCTTTATTCCTTGGAAACTTAATTACAGAGAAAAAAAACTTCTATCTAGTGCTTACAAAAACCTGAATGAAAAAGCATATAAATACTAGGAAAAAACATGGACATAAACTATCCACTTTCTCTTAAACTCGTGGCACCCAAACTGCCCATATCTCCACCATACTCGGTCAACCAGGGACCAAGTCAGTGTTAACAATTAACACTCTCCCCCTTTAACTCTGACTTGTCTTATTCAAATCTTTGATGCCCAAAAGGTTTCGCATCTCCATGAACTTCACTCGTGGTAGTGCTTTGGTTAGTATGTCAGCTTTCTGCTCTTCTCCAGTGATGTGCTCCACATGAATCAAATCCTTTTCAACACACTCGTGAATAAAGTGATAGGGAGTATCAATATGTTTGCTCCTCCCACGGAACACGGGGTTCTTCATTAATTCGATTGCAGCTTTGTTATCCACAAACAGCTTTCCATCCAGTCAGGTCTCGTAGCAAGTTCCGTAACCACGTAGCTTGGCATGCCGCTGAGGTTGCTGCCATGAACTCTGATTCACAGGAAGATAATGCCACCGTACGCTGTTTCTGCGAGCACCATGTAATCAAATTGCCCGACAAATAAAAAACTCTTCCTGTTGTGCCTTTCCCATCATCTCGATCCATGTTGTGACTACTGTCACCGTACCCAATCAGCTTCCCGTCTCCACCGTGTTTGTACACCAAACCGTAGTTGAGTGTGCCCTTAACATACCTCAAAATTTGCTTTACGGCTTTGAAGTGACCCTCTCTTGGAGATTCCATGTATCTACTGACGACGCCGACTGAGTACCCGAGATCAGGTTGCGTATGTATCAGATATCTCAAGCTTCCGATAAGGCGTCGATAATCTGTGGCGTTTACAAGCTCTCCTCCTTCATTCTTTGGTAAAGCTAGCTTTGGCTCTGTAGGATACTTTGATTCATTGCAGTCTTCCATCCCGATAGACTTCAATATTTTCTTTGTGTGCCCCGCTTGACTGATCACGATTCCTTGACTGCTTTGTTTATCCTCAAGTCAGTGTTAACAATCAACAGGTACAACAAAATACCGAACTTGGCTGATAATGGAAGTCGTTGATGAGTCTTTGTGCAAGATTCTAAAAGAATCTGGCCATGATTTGAGCGTATCACTGAATTTTGTACTCATGCGGTTTCATGAAAATTGCATGATTATAAACATGGTTTAGCCAAATGTCTAAACTAGTCTTCAGTTATGGAAATCATGTAGACCAGAATCAGTCATTCCAAAAGAGCCTTCGAGAAGAGGGATGTTCCAACATATATCGAAGAGAAATTGTTCAAGTCTAGCTGATGTGGGACTCCAATACGTCCCTCCAACCTCCAACAGAGGCTAGACAGGTACAGATTGTCCTAGGGTGTCGAGACAATTTGGAAGAATACGCCTGCCCTCTTATAAATGATCAGGGAAACAATACACAAAATACCCTAAAACATGAAAAGACCATACTGCCCTTTATCTATGTACATTTTACCCCAATAGTATCAATATTTTGCAATAATGAAAATGGGCAATAGGACATGTTTTTGGTGGGACGTTTCGAAATGATTTTGATGTCATGGGGATTATGAACTTAATTTGTTTGGAATGATGTAACTGCTAAGGTTGTTTGTCCCATTTGCAGGGAAAATGCAAAAGCCACTTCCTGAATTGCTGAAGGAGAATGACTTGCCAGTGGGTATCTTTCCTCGTGATGCCACAAACTACGAGTTTGACGAACAGACCAAAAAACTGACGGTATTCATACCCGCAATCTGTGAAGTGGGGTACCGAGACTCGTCCGTTTTGCGATTTTCAACGAACGTGACCGGGTATCTGGAGAAAGGAAAGCTAACGGATATAGAGGGATTGAAAACGAAAGTGATGATCTGGGTCAAAGTAACCTGCGTCAGCTCGGAAGGATCGAAGCTTCATTTCACAGCCGGATTGAAGAAGACGAGAAGTAGACAATGTTATGAGGTGCACAGGGACGGGATTACGGTCGAAAAGTTCTGAGAGAGATGTGTTGCCACTTTAAGATGATTATGGTTATGGTTATGTTCGTGTTAGGTTAGGTATGATGTGAAAACTATGAACCCTAATGGCTAATGGAAGTGTTGTATGTTTTTGTGGTTGCTTTTGAAAGTGTGGATGATGATGCATTAAAACTTGTATAGGCCTTAAATGTCTCTCTGATTTAATGTTGTTTTCATTCTATTTATTTATATCAAACTGTACACATGTTTCATAAAACTATTTGTTTTGTAAATATATAATAAATTAGATTAATTAATTAAAATATAGGAAAAAGTCTAAAAAAATTCAATGGACTTTAGTGTTTGGAATTATTAAGTCATTGAACAATTTTTTATAACAAATAAGTTTTTGGATATTCTAAAATATGTTAAATAACTTTTTGGATTTTCTAAAATCTGTTAGATATATTCTTATGACCTATACAGCTCATTAATATGGTAAAATAATGAAAAAAAATCTTAGAAAAAAAGGTCAATAAACATTCGTATTTTGAATGATTAAGTTTTTAAGCATTTTTTGAACCAAAATAATACTTAGATTTATAAATGAAACAAATATACCAAAAAATATTTACATTTAAAAAAAAATTGTTAAAAATTATTTTAATTAAAAATAAAATGTATTTT